TTTGAGATGCAGGATATCTAATGTCAGTCATAGACTTGCAGGTGGGAATAAATTGCTGAAGTTATGGTCTTTCTCATATGTGGAATTATAAAAATACTGCTTTTTTAGAGTCTGCCTTTTAACAGTGCACGTTTAGAAGTTTTTTCAAATGTGTTTTCAAGCAAAAACATGCCAACATATTTAGAAGAGATTAAATTCTTTCATTATACCTGATTTTATTTTGCTTAATTTACTGAAGCTTTGGGCTGAGGAGGTGTATTCTGGCAATGGATAAAGTATTCATGGTGGGGTGAGAAGAGTGTGTGCAGTTTCTAGAGAATAAATTCCTCGACTGTACAGGAAAAACAGGATTTTCTAAGTTTGAATATTTTTCGCGTGATGATGGCAATGGTAACAAATGAATTGGAAATTGTATGATGACACTTGAGCTTTGTGAGACAAGAAGTGTTTGGTAAATACTGTATAGAGACGCTTTTCCAGTCAGCTTGGCAGGGAAGGAAATGTGGCTTTTCTGCTGAAGGGAAAAATTATAATAATAGAAGTTTTGTTACAAACATGTTTTAGACAGAAAATTGCTCAGCATTTAAAGTTTCTTGCATAACTTTGTATATATGAACATTTTAACTCAATTTATATCAATGCCCTTCAGAAAACATTCTTTTTTCTACTAGCAGCAGGGCGTTGTTTTTAGCCTGTGTGTAGGTCCTTAGGCAGGATTGCTTTTTAAGAGTTACTTAAAGATGCAGAGTTGATTCATTCTTTCCCAAGTTGTTTAAGACAGCAACAAACTAATGACAGACATCTACTATCAATTAGCATGCCTTGTTTGGGGACCTTTCTAAAGGAAAGTGTCCAAATAATTTTGCTAAAAGTGATTGCAAATGGGATGTCAGGTAGACCCACATTTCCACTGCTGTTCACAGCACTTGTGTATTAGGGCAGACACAGGTTAGTTTGCATAACCTTCCTCATCCTATGTGTCATTTAATCATTATGTCTGATAGTGACACTCAGGAGAAGTATCTTTTGAGAAAATGTAGTGACTGTCTTTCTGTACCCACCAAATTACATCTGGACTTTATTAAAAGAGCTAGAACTGAGGTAGCACTTTCTGTGTTGTAAGTGTATCGAAGTAGGAGTTGAACTAAAACATGGTTTCACTGAATGTTACCTTATGGATGATCAGCAGCCTTCACCCTTCCCTCTTCGGTCCCCAAGGTAATAAGAACAGTCCAAATCCAAAAATAAAGACTGTCCAGCAGTGAACTTTGGATGCACCTCTGTTCAACAGTTACTGTGGTTTTCTCAGCTGTCTGAAATTGCCCTTCTCTATTGGAGAGGATGCAAAGTCTGAAGTATGTATAGGAGAAGGATGCAGAGATGGGGCTGGGACTGTCTCATTTCCCCAGCTGGTTGGTTTGTCTACTGAGCTGTAGTCATGCTGTGACTGACCCAGTACATTGGGATATTTTATGCAGTGAGACATGGCAGCAGAACTGGTGATGAATCTCTCTCATTTAGGTTTGGTAATTACCTTTGTGGACATTTGAATTCTCTCAGATGGAACACAGTTGCCCTACAATTGAAGCTAGTTTTTACACTGACCTAGTAGAGAGAAAGGGGACCATGTTCCTTTTAAATTGTGTGTGTGTAGTTCTTTAAGGATCCAATCTTTCTTCTGTAAGCAAGGCTAGAGGATTGTGCTGCTCAGAAAACAGCTTCTGGATCTGTCGTTAGAAGACATTTGCTCATATATAATACATTTCCTCATTTTCTGTTAACTTGTTCAGGAGAAAGTATGGATTTTAAAATACCTTGTACTGAATGGTTCTTCTTGACTACCACTAAGCAGAAGGCAAATATCTGCCCAGTGATGTTGGCTTCTGTGAATCCCACTCTGCAGCCCTATTGCTCTTTCCAAGTGTTGCAAAGGAGAGATGCCTGTTTTTTATCCAGAGTCCAGGATTCCACTTCTGGTCACATACGTGAATTTTAAATTGAAATTTACAACCCATACTAGGTTAGGCAGAACTTAAATTCATCAACATGAAGCCTTAGTTCTGCAAAAAGTGGTTGTATTACCTTTCAAACACATGCCTGTGGAAACAGATCATTCACAGTCAGAAACAACCCCAAGGAGTTTCTCCTCTTTAAGTACAATTTCATGCACCTGTATATTAGCTTCTGTTTCACTAGATCATCACTAATCTTGAATCGGTTTCCCATTTTAAAAGGTTTGGGATTAATTTAGTCACACATTAGCACTGAAAATCTTCCATTAATATCACTGAAATGATACTTACACCTTTCATGGCAGAAGACTTGAGTTCTTAATTACGGCTTAAACCAAAGATGTTTGAAAATTACTTCACATTGCAATAGTCTTTCTCATCACTTTCTCTTTTTGAGGATAACCCTTGTAATCAGAAATCACAGAAGTACATGATGCTTGTGTGATAAATTTTAGTCTAGCTTTATATAATAGAGCCCTTCAGAATATATGTATGATTTTTTCCCCCTTCGATTGTATTGTGCTAATGACTTTGGAATTTAAAGGTCAGTGTGGAGCCCAATATGTTGGCTGAAGGAGCCCATGCAATTTTAATAGTGCTTAGCAGGCTGGTGAAAAGAGCAGTTTTTAACAGTGTGCATGTTCTGTGGGAGTCACTGCTTTATGAAGTGCAGACATTGAAGGAAGAATGCCAGTGGACTGGAAAGTTGTTAGAGCTTAATGATATCCTGCAGTTAGATAAATGCCAAGGCAAACCAACCATGCTTATTTTCAATCTAGGCTAAATTGATTTTGTGATAATTTCTTACTTGATTAATTATAAATAATATGTCAGTATAATTATTTTCTCCTGCTATTAGTGTAACAGCTTGTCTATGGCAACTTTTCAGTGCAACTCACTTTTGCCCTGCAAAGTTTGTGCATAATGAGCAAGTACATAGGAATGAAATGTAGATGAAAACCTGTTGTCTGGGTGGGTGGCTGTTTGTTTTCTTCTTCCCCCTTCTCCCCCCCATGCCTTCAATTAAATCCAGCATTAAACATCCTTAAACCAGGAAGATATTTAGGGGAGTGAGTTGTTTGGGTTTTTTGGAGATACTCTCACAGTATCTGGGGATCAGCATTCTGCCATTGGTGTGGGGTGTAAGCTTAAGCCTAAAACACAGCACTAAAATTTGTGAAGGTTTTTCAGGAAAAATGCACATTGCAAGTGTCAGCGTATTGTACTGAAGAAGCAAAATGAAAATTGCTTAGAGAGTTTTAATTGCCTGGAAGTTGTGGCACATGGAAAATAAGCTTAGAAAATATTATTTTCTTCTTTTAATACTTTGATGTTCACCATAAAACTGCCAAAACCAATACAGTTTTCTCTCCCCTCTAATTTCATTGCATCTTTTTTCTTTCTTTTTCTTGCAGAACAATAGAATATATTGTTTGATATGAAGTACGAGTGTTTGGTCTGTCTTCTAGCTTTTAATGAAGTCTCTTTGCAGGGAAGAGAGATAACTTAAAAGAAACTAAATCCTCCATTTTGTGAGATGACATGCTTTGAAGTTTTTTTGATGTGTGCGTATGATCTTTCCAACAAGCTCTGTTTGACCTAGTTAAACTTATTTTGCCAGTTTAGAGTTTTAGAGCACTCTTACCCACCCTGATTAAAACAAGTACAGCAACATCAGACTGCAAACTCCCCATGCATGCTGCCTTACCAATATATCTAGTTTCGTTGATGTTACTTCCTATCATGTCATACTTCACATAAAAGGAAATTGCTTTGAGTGTGTTTACTAGAAATTCAGCTGAGATAACCAGTGTTGGTAGGTTAACCAGTGGCAAACACTAACTGGACCATGTCTTGAGTCATGGTATATAGAAGGGTTTTCTCTTAGCATCCATCATTGTGCTATAGAGGGCAAAAGCACTTTGACTTGCACTCTCTGGTTTTTTTGGTTTACTTTTTGGTGCTGATACATTGAATAGTGTTTTGTTGTTGGAAGGAGATGATGAAAACCAGTCATAGAATCATAGAATGGTTTGGGTTGGAAGGGACCTTATTCTAGTACCAATCCCTCCTGCCATGGGCAGGGACACCTTCCACTAGACCAGGTCGCTCAGCATCCCATCCAACCTGGCCTTGAACTGCTCCATAGCATTGTTAACTTACCATGTATCAGGTCTTCTCCTGGAGTGCTGTGTAATGAAAAATCTCATCATTATTTGTTTAATAATGCAAACGCAGTAAGGGGAGAACATATCTCCTGCCCAGAGTATTGAGGAAAAAGTTACATTGGTCTCTTAAATTCTGTTTTGCTATTCCCATTTCCTTTTTTTTAAGTCCCCATTTTGTGCTTTTAATAGTTCTAGAATTAAGCAAAGAGTAGGTTTTGGAAAGGCTATAGTACATGTCACTGAACAATACCAGTCTGGTTCTCCCCTTCCAGGGATATTTTTTTCTTTCTGTTCCCCATGTGTCTTTTCCTACCTGCATGTGTCATTTGGTTCATGTAAATAAACCTGCAGGAAAAAAAGTACGATTCAATGGAAATCCACTATAAACTCCAGAGTTTAATATAGTGGAATTGTAATAAATCTTGTAATTTCAAAGAAAGAAGACATTAGAATAACAGATCTACACACAGATTATGTGGATTCAACTTACTTTCTTCCTAGTACTTCCTGTCATTCCTGATTTTGAGATATGACCAGAAATGAAGGGTAGTGCTTTGGGGATACTGCAAATGAACATGGTTTGTTACTGGACAGAGATGGTGCTGTTGCAGAGTCTGAAGTAGTGCTGCATCAGAACACAACAGTTCCAGCTTCCTGCTTTTATTAATTAAATTGTGTACGTATCTGTAATAGAAACCTTACAGGATCTGTCAGGCAAGGGGAGAATTTAATATGTACAAAACCAAGATGGTTGATATTGCCATCCTTGTGGGAGCAAATAGTGAAGGGTTTTATATATACATACTGAGGGGAGAAGATGTGAGAATTCTTGTGCTTTATTTTGGAATTCGAATGCCCAAAGTTATCTTCCTCCTAAGTAAGTAAGTTAACTTTATAAACATCAACGTTGTGAACTTAATGCTTTCATCAGACTCTAATAGTAAAATAACAATTCTTCAGCAAAAGATCTGTTTTTTATAGGCAGCATTATTTCGACCAGTAACTTTCACAAGCTTGATTGAAATCGATGTTGCCAGGCCGATTTCCACTAGCACACCCTGTATGCATGAAAGGTACCCAAACAAGTGCCAGGTGTGATGGCATTGTCAGAGTAACCCAGGCTCAGCAGTAATGGTTTTATTTTGGCCACAGTGTGGATGGGGCAACTGGTTTGGTTCTCAAGAAAATTCTAACACTCCACTTAAAAATTGAATTTCGTGCTCAGTTGGCATTCGTACCTCAGACACATGTTGTAACAGTTTTGCATCTGAGTTGTGTGCTGTGTTTGAAAAAATACTCCATTTTTTGAATCTTTCATTCATCCTCTTTTGCAAAATAACACTAAATTTGATCAGAAACTGTATTTAGCTGATTGTGTCAGAACATTGTGCGGATTTAAACATTCAGTCTGTAGTGAAACTTGCCTGAGTTATTTTCAGGTAAAATATCTGATTAATTCTAAATTCCCTGTGGATTTTTGTAGCCCAGAGTTCTGTTTGTTTGAAAATAAATACATTTAAGAAAAAATTCTATGCTTCAATGGATTTTTCAGACAAGGACTGAAGCAAGTCCTTATAAATAGCAGAGTTCATAAACCGTGGGTAGGAGTCTCTGTGCATTAAGGTGTAAATTTGAAGCTGTGCGTCATCGAAGGTGTGTTGTGAGGGTTCCAGCATATTTCGGTTAATAACTTCCCTTACTCTCGAGTCCAGACTGACCTGCGTTTTAAAACAGAAAGTCATGTCAATAGTAGTGGTGCACAGTACAGCTGGAGTTTTAGGTTTGTTTTATTGGTTGAAAAAGTTGTCTTTTTTAACCATCTCAGCTGGCATCCTCCAAGAGTGTAAAACCTGCTAAATATACTTAGGCAAACAATGACTGTGTTAAAATTTGGAAGTAGTAATATCTTGAATATGGATAGAGAAATGTCCTCACTGAGGTACCTTCCTTTAAACAACACTGCCTGCAATCCTGTTCTTACTGAAACCTGAGAGACCAGTGGGTTATTTCCAGACCAACTTCCTGCCCTGTAGTAGAGAGGATTTGTAATTTTTGGTGACAGTTCATTTCCTGCGGAGTCAGTGCTGTTGTAAAGGGACTGAATTTGGAGTAAGCAGAATGACGCAGACGGAAAATGTAACCTGGGAAGCTGTTGCCTAATCAAATTCCTGTTTGGGTGAATTGATGTGAACCACAGGTATGGCTGTGTAATGTTGCCATACAACATACAAGTGTCTGTAGAAAAATACTAGTGTTACAGGAATAGACTAGCTAGAGTCAACAGCATTTTTATAAGTGCATAAGTATCACTTGCACCACAGTTAAGTTGCAGTTTTATATAGATATTGGAAGGCCTAAAATTCCAGCCTGCTTGGCAGGATTATAGTCAAACTAAACTGAGGTGTCTTCAAAACTTGACATATTTGCTAACAGCAAAGTGACAAGTAGTTCTGAAAATTTTTGGGAAGTCGTCATGTTTTTCCTCTGCCATATTTTGTCAGCTGCTCTTTGAGCAACCTGTGCTTTGCAAATAACACTCTGCGACTGCTGTGCCTTTGGAGAGACACATACACCTCCTTCCTAGTGCCACAAAAAAGGAAACCGATTAGTCCAACAAATAAAATTTAAATTGAGCAAGGATAATGTGATCATCTGTATGTGCCTCAAACTAAAACTTCCACATGCCAGGGTAGCTTGGGAAGAGCTTTCTGACAACCAGTGAAAGTAGTTTTGACCTTTTCAGCTCAGCAATGGGGGCCTTTTTTCCCCTAAATTGCTACTTGATGGCAGTGGAATGTGGGGGAAGAAAAGTTCTCCCTGAGCATTGGTGTAGCTTTAAACATGTTGGAATTAACTGTGCAAAGCAACAACAAAGAATGTATTGGGAAAAGTAATATACCTCTTTTGGAGAAAGAATAGAAATATAATCCTCATAAATGAGTCTTGCTTTTTCTTCAATGACACTTTTGTTGGATTCTTGTTTGAGTTCCTCACAGGCCATCCAGAAAAGCATGTTTTCCTCGCTGAATTCTGTTCGTAGAAACTCACGGAAAGCATTTCTGCCAGCTGGAGTAAGCATCAGCTTGTCAAAAGATTGAGCCCAGGCATTTACTTCTTCGAGAGTAGGAGCAGGGCTTGAGGAGGAGGAAGAGCAGAAGAGAGAGATGAATAATTGTTACTCACGCTGTCTGCAGCTGGCAGGAGGCATCTGCCATCACGACGGAACAAAATCCTAAGGTTCATGGGGCTCTGACTCCTCACTGGAACGACCCAAGTGCAAGCTCTAGTAAACACATTTATAAGGTGTTTTTTGAAAATGCTTATCAAGAGTTCTGATGCAGATGATTGCCAGTGCTTTCATGCAGAAATTGCAGTTTATTGCTCCAAGTAATTGCAGCAAAGAAGTACTTCTGCAACAGCTAAGCATTTTTTCTATACCTAATAGTCCTTATTGGATCATTGTTAAAAATTGAATGAAAGTACATATAGAGAAGCAATGATTCAAACACCACAAAAGGTACCCACCTGTCTATTACTGTTTTGCAGATGCTTTTACCTGTTTGAGCAATTCTGAAGGGGCTGTTGCCTGACTCTTGGGAGGATATAAGCTCCTCTCTATTATTTTTGTAAGGCTGAGCACTGCCAGTTAGCCTCATGACATAGTAGCTGGGTGGGAACAGGATATGTTTTCAAATTGTTGCAGAAAAAAAGTGAGACTGTTTACAATGCTGATTTTGATCTGTCATATTACAAGAGGGGGGATCTGTTACATGCTGCATATAAATAAGGTAAAATGTTATAGATCAGACCTGTGGTTCATTAGGAGATAAAAAACAAATGACTTGCAAATTGATCTTAAATGACAAATAGTTATTTTCATGTTTTGGGCGCTGTAATTACTTAGTATGTTTGGTTGGGTTTGTTTCATTTTAGCTTGATTAAACACTTAATAAAGACCATACCTTTCCTCGCAGTTTGGAATACCCTCTGCTTGGAGTTCATGAGATGTTCTCCTTGCTCTTTCTTCCTCTTGATTTCTAACAGTAAGACTGCAAGGTAACAACAGTTTAGTCAACGTTATAGAGGAAAAGGCTGAATGTACACCACATGTTCACTATTGTATCCCATAGACTTTGTGAAGGAATCCTAGATCCATAGAATATCTCAAGGATCCCCTAAGGATCACCAAGTCCAATTCCCTATCAATGTGTATACACAAGTGTATATATATGTATACATGCATCCACTTGTTCACATGTCAGATCTGTTCAGCAGTGATGCTTGTTATACTGTGTATGCTCAATGCAGTGTTTTTACTTTAGTTAGACTTGATGCATTGGTTTTGTGTGAGTTAGATTTCAAGGTAGGTGCGTTTGTATTTGTTTGTTTGGGGTTGCTTTTTTTCCTCCTTGGCTGTTTTTTTTATATCCATAGGGCCAAGACTGGTTTGGAGTGGTGATACCATGTTACAAGAAAACCAGAAGCTTGACACTTGAAAGTAAGCTAAAGACTTGTGTATGTGATGTGATGCTGGAAGGGTAAGCATCTTTTAGAGGTCAGATGCAGATACAGCCAGATTGTGTGGTAATTGACTGCAGCTTTAAGAAAGTGCTAATATATGCTTTAAAATGTGAGGCCTGGGGCACAAAGAGCAGATCTACCATTGCTGAATATTGTTTTGAATATGCCTGACTGGAAACACTTGTTTGTAGCATTACAAAAAAACCAAAAAAACAAAAAACAAAAAAAAACTCAAAAAGTTTGCTGCAATCACTAGTGATCACTGAGAGTTTCTGATGTTGCCTGGAAGAACAGCTGTCACCTCCTGCTGCTTTTGTCAAATGTTAGTTTAGATGGCTCTAGTTTTTAAAGATTTCTTTCGAAGTTGTAGACAATTCTTTTTCATTTGAAACTGGATTTGAGAATATACATATTTCTTTTTAGGGAATGGGGACTACTTTGCAGTTCATCCAGGCAATCATATCTTAGTGAGAAATGCGTGTGCATACACACATGTATTCATGTAATCTGTAAAGCTGCTTAAAATGTGCCAGGAAGTAAAGGTCCTAGCGTATTGTAACCTGTAATTTATATGAAGTGGGTCCTCCAGCTGAAATGAGGCAATACAGTTGTTATAACAGCTAGGGAAATACAAAATTTGATTTCTTCATTTGTATCTTACCTTTTGTGACAGTGTTGTAAATTTTGTTGACTTAATCCTTAAGATTCTCATTTATATCTAGTAAGGCTTTTTGTTAAACCAGTTGATTTTTCTGCCCTTTCTGCCTTCTAAACTCTTGACTGAGTCTTACTTGCAGCCTTGCTATTTACTGGGCATCTCCTCCCTCTTTGTCTAGTGTTAGTCCATAATCTGCAGAGTCCTGCTTTCCTCTGCCGAGGCAGTCCATGCATTGAAGATGTAGGAAAGCTTTCCTGTTGCTAAGATGGAGAGCAGATACTGCAAACACTTCTTTCTGTAACATCTGAACCATATGTTCAAACCAATAAACTATTTCATTGTACCTTTTCAGGGAAAAAAGAAAAGAAAAAAGTAAGTAGTAAAGCTAGTTCTCTGTTCTTTTGGGTTATATAGGTCTCAAACCTTTACTACCTTTTTTACCGGTGGCTCTGGCCGTTTTTGAACACATAAAGTGATATATTATGTATTCCTCACACACATAGGCAAGAAGTGATTTTCTTGTCAGAGTTATTTTTGGATTGAGGGGAACCAGCAGATCAAATAGAAAGGATTACAGTGTTCATAGGATAATGCACAAAAGGGGAAAAAGACAAAAGAAATAACAAAAGCTTTCCTAAGAGAACACACCATGCCTCAGAAAATTACTTATGGGCAGGCT